TCTGAATACAGAAAGTTCTGGCGCTCATGTTTCAGGATTTAGAAGATTGCCAAATCAGAGGAGAGCTTCAACCGACAGGATCTGGAGTCTTATTTCCTGATATTTGGACGTCTCTCCTCTGATTGGCTAACAGCAACGCAACTCTACCACTGACTCTGTTTACTTTGTAGCATTGGTGTTTTATCTCCATGAATAACACAAGCCTGGAGGAGTTATGCTGTGTGGTGGAGTTGCTAATGGTAACAGTTAGCTTCTACTAGGCTAAACCAACAATAGCCTTCCCTGTTGTGAGCCAAGATGGTTGAGCCCATGACAGTGTGATGTAGATCTGTCAAGCTTTTCAGATCCTAGATTTTCACCATCAGTTTTCTGTAAGTAGCTAATGCAGGAGATGGATGTAGGAGACTATTTTCACCTTCAACTTGTGTGACCGATTATGATTAGAAATAATCATTAAAAATGTTTTTCTCAGTGAACCACACCACACATAGCTGGAGTGTGAATGCTGGGGCAGTTAAACCTGTGGAGCAGAACGTTCTGAAAGTTTCTTTCATGACATTTTTAAATATCAATTAAATCTGTGTGTAACCTCTGACCTTATGATATCCCTCTCATCAATATTTAACAATCCACTCGAATTAAGATGGGAGAAGTTCACTTTTAAAGCTCACAGATTAGAAATGAAGTGTGGATAATTCATTCAAGCAAAGGCAAAGGTTGCCTCTCAGATTAATGGAACTTTTTACAGGAAATTGAGGCAGTTAAGAATTTTCCAGCATTATTAACCTCCTATTAAATAAAACTGGATCATTTCTTACCTAAACGGAACTCAAAATGAAAGCTCAGTTAGTTCAGATTAGCTGGTTGAAGAAGCTTACCTATATGGAGCAAGGATTGGGACAATATTACATGTAACTTGCACCAAGTTTTGTAACTTGTAACATGCTTTGTAACAAACTTTCATTTTGAAGCATGTAATTCACATTTTGTGACATGTAACTTTCGTAGTGTTGTAACTTGTAGTTCTCATTTTGTAACATGTAACTTTAGTTTTGTAACATGTAACTTTCATTTTGTAACATGTAGTTCTTGTTTTGTGACATGTAACTTTCGTTTTGTAACATGTAATTCTAGCGTTGTAACATGTAGTTCTCGTTTTGTAACATGTAATTCTAGCGTTGTAACATGTAGTTCTTGTTTTGTAACATGTAATTCTAGCGTTGTAACATGTAGTTCTCGTTTTGTAACATGTAGTTCTAGCGTTGTAACATGTAGTTCTCATTTTGTAACATGTAACTTTCCTTTTGTAACATGTAGTTCTAGCGTTGTAACATGTAGTTCTCGTTTTGTAACATGTAGTTCTAGCGTTGTAACATGTAGTTCTCATTTTGTAACATGTAACTTTCCTTTTGTAACATGTAATTCTAGCGTTGTAACATGTAGTTCTCGTTTTGTAACATGTAATTCTAGCGTTGTAACATGTAGTTCTCATTTTGAAACATGTAACTTTCCTTTTGTAACATGTAGTTCTAGCGTTGTAACATGTAGTTCTCGTTTTGTAACATGTAGTTCTAGCGTTGTAACATGTAGTTCTCATTTTGTAACATGTAACTTTCCTTTTGTAACATGTAATTCTAGCGTTGTAACATGTAGTTCTCGTTTTGTAACATGTAATTCTAGCGTTGTAACATGTAGTTCTCGTTTTGTAACATGTAATTCTAGCGTTGCAACATGTAGTTCTCGTTTTGTAACATGTAATTCTAGCGTTGTAACATGTAGTTCTAGCATTGTAACATGTAGTTCTCATTTTGTAACATGTAACTTTCCTTTTGTAACATGTAGTTCTAGCATTGTAACATGTAGTTCTCGTTTTGTAACATGTAGTTCTAGCGTTGTAACATGTAGTTCTCATTTTGTAACATGTAGTTCTCGTTTTGTAACATGTAATTCTAGCGTTGTAACATGTAGTTCTCGTTTTGTAACATGTAGTTCTAGCGTTGTAACATGTAGTTCTCGTTTTGTAACATGTAGTTCTAGCATTGTAACATGTAGTTCTCATTTTGTAACATGTAACTTTCCTTTTGTAACATGTAATTCTAGCGTTGTAACATGTAGTTCTCATTTTGTAACATGTAACTTTCCTTTTGTAACATGTAATTCTAGCGTTGTAACATGTAGTTCTCGTTTTGTAACATGTAGTTCTAGCGTTGTAACATGTAGTTCTCGTTTTGTAACATGTAATTCTAGCGTTGTAACATGTAGTTCTCGTTTTGTAACATGTAATTCTAGCGTTGTAACATGTAGTTCTCGTTTTGTAACATGTAATTCTAGCGTTGTAACATGTAGTTCTCGTTTTGTAACATGTAATTCTAGCGTTGTAACATGTAGTTCTCGTTTTGTAACATGTAGTTCTAGCGTTGTAACATGTAGTTCTCGTTTTGTAACATGTAATTCTAGCGTTGTAACATGTAGTTCTCGTTTTGTAACATGTAATTCTAGCGTTGTAACATGTAGTTCTCGTTTTGTAACATGTAGTTCTAGCGTTGTAACATGTAGTTCTCGTTTTGTAACATGTAATTCTAGCGTTGTAACATGTAGTTCTCGTTTTGTAACATGTAGTTCTAGCGTTGTAACATGTAGTTCTCGTTTTGTAACATGTAATTCTAGCGTTGTAACATGTAGTTCTCGTTTTGTAACATGTAATTCTAGCATTGTAACATGTAGTTCTCGTTTTGTAAAGCTTAATTTACACTTCTCCATCTGCGTCAGAACAGACACACGAAGCGCCATTATCTGTCCTTTTGAGGACTCTCCAGCTGGCTTGCAAGGACAGACAGAGTTAAGCCCTCGTTTCTAAACATCCATTCAACGTGATGGAGAACGCAAGCTAGTGACTGATCAGGATGTCGACGTTGTCGACAGCGCCGCCATCGCGCCCTCAGAAACACGAAGAAAGCCAAAGATATCTAGCGGCAGAAATGGAGAAGTTAGAATAATACCTCGCGGGAAACTCTAAAAATATGAACGTTTTATTCACCCGTGGCTGGAGGAGTGAAAAGATCAGCAGCAAGCGTTTTATTCGTGGATGGAAATGACGGAAAACGTGGGGTTAAGCCTAGTTTATATTTCTCCATCAGCTCCACCAGGGAGAGACACGCTCGCACGGCGGAGACAGTTTGTCCTCGTACTTCTCCGTTACTTAACACATGACTTTTGATAGGTAACCTAAAACTTTTAGTTTTTAATTTGCAGAAAAAAAATCTAAGTAGAAGTTTCACACCACATCTCTCAAAACACACATCTCAGTCTAGATTCCATTTTTGGTTCTTTTTAAAACACAGGAAAGGTTTTTCTTTACCTTGCTGACGTACGTTTCATTTGCCGACTGCAAAACATCCTCAGAGCTGACGCTGATGGTGGCGTCACTTCCTACTCCGTTTATCCGCGGGCAGCAGAGGACGTTGTCGCCCTCTGCTGCCCGCTCTCCCCTCTCTGATGATGAAACGTACGTCAGCAAGGTAAAGAAAAACCTTTCTTGTGTTTTAAAACGAACCAAAAATGGAATTAGAAACTAAACACATTAAGAACGCACCAAAGATCTCAATCTACAGTTACAAAACTAAAATCTACGTGCTAAAAAGCACGTTGTCCTAATTCAAGCTTCCTTTCCCAAATAACTAATGACAAGCTTTGTCTGGCCGGCCAATCATGAGTCTTGGATTCCTGTCCAGTCATGGCCAGAGGGCAGAGGTCTGCCAGACTTGCTTACATTCTGACTCTTTACCAGTAGGTGGCAATCATTTTAGAGAAATTAAACTGTTGTAAATAAAGAACTTACATTTTGAATTAGAGTCGGATTTCTCATTTGAGACACATGATTGGCTGATAAGACAACGCCTGTCATTGGTTTTTTAGAAAGGAAGCTAGAGTAGGGACAACATGTTTTGTACACGTAGACTTGAGTTTTGTAACTGTAGACCAGGGGTGCCCAATCCTGGTCCTGGAGGGCCGGTGTCCTGCATGTTTTAGTTTGAACTCTGTTTCAACACACCTGATTTCAATCAGCAGCTAATTAACAGGCTTCTGCAGAGCCTGATGAGCTGCTGCACAGGTATTTCAACCACTGAATCAAGTCTGTTGGAGCAGAAAAACCACAAAACCTGCTGGATACCGGCCCTACCGGACCAGGATTGGGGGCCCCTGCTGTAGACTGAGAGTTGTGATTTGAAACCTGTGCATAATTTATTTTCTGCAAATTACAAAATGAAAGTTTCATGTTGCCTTACAAAACACGAATTACGTCTTACAAAATGAAAGTTGCGTTACAACCCATGATTTACATGCTACAAAACAAATGTTAGTTACTAAACATGTTACAAGTCACAAAACTTGGTACAAGTTACGTGTGATATTGTCTCAATCCTAGCTCCATACTTAATGAGAAAATCAGTGACTGTTTGAGCTCATTTACAAAGTTCATTTGTTAACAAAAACATTTTGAGCACATCTTACTTGGCTCCTTAAGCTAAACTTGGCGAACTAGGAAAGGCTTCAGATCGATGAGCAGCCCACAGCTGCACCCTTGCACCCATCACAATAATCAGATATCGACTGTCGACTGTTGGTAAACAAGACGGGTTGAAAAATGAAACGGGAACATGGATCTAAACATGTTTCTAATAACATTTCAGGAGATATGACATTCCCCTCCATAAAGACTCACCAGGATCCTCGTTAAATTAAGTGAACATGAGCACTAATATTAAATGATGTGGCCAAACATGGATGGTTTTTAATGCAGCCTCCAGATAAACTTCGTCTTAGATCCAGTCAACTTTTCTGAGTGAATGTGAACAAACGATCTTTCTCCTTTATTCTCAGTTGAGTTTAGCAGGTTTCTAGGAACAATGGCCGTTCCGTCCATTAACCTGAGCGTGTGTGTGTGTGTGTGTGTGTGTGTGTGTGTGTGTGTGTGTGCATGCATATGTTCTCACCCTCAGTGATGCCAACCTCACAGACGTGCTGTCTGACTCAGAGGAGTGTGATCTGGGCAGTCTGGAGCGCTTGGAGCGTGGAAGCACCGACACCCTGGCCAATGGCTGCCGAGCTGATGGCGAGGCCGCCAAAAGGCTGGCTAAGCGCCTCTATCTGCTCGAGGGCTTTAAGCGCTGCGATGTGGCCAGACACCTGGGCAAGAAGTGAGGATGCTCACCTCACCATATTCATGACTGATGAATGAATCTATAAGGTAAAAGCCCTCGTTTCCTCCCTGTGAAGCTGGTGACGCTTGTGTCTCCGCAGTAACGACTTCAGCCAGCTGGTGGCTTCGGAGTACCTGAACTTCTTTGACCTCTCCGGACTGTCCCTGGATCGAGCCCTGAGGTAACGTGAGTGAAGAGTGTGTGATGGTTACGCACACCTCTCCTTCACACTGCATTAGTTTGTTTTTGTGTGGAGTAAGATCAGCAGCTTCATTCCTGATGTCGTCTGAACCTTTCAGTGCTGCATGATGGGGTTAGGGGTTCGGCTGCACCAGCGATGCTCGGGCTGTAAACTACAGTGTGGCTGCTGGCTCAGACCCACAGAGCAGCTTCACCGTTTCACCAGCTATTCATGTGTGGCAGGAACTTTCTGAAGGCCTTTCCACTGATGGGAGAAACTCAAGAGAGGGAACGGGTTCTGGTTCATTTCTCCAGACGATACTGTCAATGCAACCCGCAGACGCCCACATCTGAAGGTGAGTCACAAAACGAATGTCCTATCTTACCAGGGGATCTCAGACTTACTATCACATGTACTACCTTAGTATGTGGTACTATGAGTACAAGCTTATGGGCCATTCCCATCTGTACCGGGTCGGCCCGGGCCGGGTAGCCCCGGTCGGCCCCAGCCTGGCCCGGTTGATTCCACACATCCTTGCCTTAAGCCCATGTGGGCTGATTCTACCCACCAATCAGAGGCTTGCTCTAATGGAAGGTGTGAATTTGCTGTCAGCAGTGGGTGTGTTGGCCCTGGTCGGCCTGAAGCAGACCCCCTCGAGAAGAGGGCTGAGAATGAGCCTTGGTCGGCCCGGAAAAATACCAGGCCACCCAGATATGTAAACAACCTACGCTACCCGGCCCGGGCCGACCCGGTACAGATGGGAATGGCCCGTTACAGGCTTCTATTGATGTCAGTCTTAATGAGCAACAGGCTAAAGTCTTAACTGGGTGAGGGGAACAGACTAAGAA